TCTCCACGTGGTAATCAAAATGAAACTTTTGTTAAGTTATGGTTCTAACAATGAACACAATATTTTTAATCAATCGTGCTAAAAAAAAAATGACCACAATCGAATCGGTCTCCGAAAATTTAATATAAAAATTGTAGAAAATAATTGAAGAAAAATTTATTTTACGTATAAAATGATAAACTTATCATGTACAAACAATATCGCTAATAATACGTTTCTTCAGTTTTTTTTTTTTTAGTAACAAACCAAATAATAGAATTTCACGCAACATTAGGAAAATGTGGGACTTACTAACGAGGTTTCACGTGAAGTCATTATGAAATGAATTTAATTTAAACATTATACAGCCGATGACAAAAGTGTAATGCTTTCAATCTTACTGCCTGACTGGTTGTAAACTGTTATTCTTTTACAAGTTATTCTTATAATTATAATAATAGTATAATATTAATATTATTTCAGACAGATTCACACGTTTCGCAGTATGAAAAGTGATTTTTTTTCTTTATATAGTTTTTCTGCTTTTTCCTTTTACGTTCTTTTTTCTGCTAATGTTTACGCTCCCCAATGACTAATACATGTAGCGCAAATACTTGGTAATCGTTTCCGTTTAAAAGTGAAAGATGTGTAAAAACATGAACCTTCGACGCAACGACGGTACAGAGCATTATTTTTGGGGAAGGGAGTTTGCGTATTGTTTTCCACTTGATTTCTCTCGTTTAATATTATTAATTTTGGATTCCGCTGATATACTCCTAATTCCTGTCAGTGGCTCGGAGCTTCTCTTCCACAGCTTCTTCAGAAGCCTCTGAAAGGTCTGTTGCTTGTATGTACTTTTGCACACCGACTAAGGATTTTTTCAAAGCATCAAAAGAACTCGAGTACAACATCTTCTTCTTAACTTTGGCCGTGTCGGGACACCACGACATCAAGAACAACTTTTGTTTCTTGGAGGCCTGGAAATCAAAACAATCACCGTTTGAATGTTTACACTAATTGTAAGCCAACAAATGAATTAATCATTGAAAGAAGATAGTAGAACTGTTACCTCGGATGTACCCTGACACTGATGAGTGTATTCAAAGTCGAAAAGACCGTAGCGGCATTCTCCGCTGCCACACTTTTGCAAATCCTCAAGGAAGGCGTCGTAAGCGGCATCGCGAGGTCCGATCACTTCAACGTCGATTTGCTTCTCGTCCTTAATGTAAAAGATTACATATCGATGTTTTTTGTCTTTTTTAATCTCCTCGTACGTTGTCTTACAAACGTCGGCCACAGTTACTCCAGATGCCTAAACAAACAGAAAATTAATGAAGTTTGCAACGACAAGAATTGTACAAAACGCGTCTTACATGCAATCGTTGTCAGCGAAGACGAATCATAGATACCGAGTCACAATACATTGCGTAATAGCTCGATGAAAGGTTTGTTTATAAAACTTAATTGCACACGTTGAAATCGACATCGCGATGAACAACTTGTAACTCATCGTACGATTCATGTAACACGTTATCATCGCATCAGGATAGAGGTTTGTATTTTAACGATGGTACATTTAATTCAACACAAAATTGGTGTACACAAAATAATCGCTGTACTCGGCTGCAAGTGGATCATCAACAAACGGTTTAGACTTTCTCGAAGATCAAAGGATGTCGAGAATTAGTTCTCATAACTTTTCCACCCTTTGTGTCGATAAGTGAGATTCCCTTTTTGGTACATTGCGGCAAAGATTTACGGTGGCGTTATAGATATCTTTCTATATCGAGATGCATTGCTATCGTTGGCTGACGAGGAGGGCAGTGCCAGTATCAACGCTATCAGTGTTGGACTAACGTCGGCTAGTCTGGCCGTTTAAGCTTATTTCGCGGGCAAACGTGGGGGACGTACCGAAATAAAGTCTTCCCACGCATGAATCCGATGCTAAAACAGATCCAACGTCCATTTCTAAAGTTATCCGTTGCCTGTGGGCACGTGCCACACAGTACAGAGAGGACCATTCGATTATGTGTTTCTGCCACTCTGTGAAAATTCGTGAAATACGACCATGACACGACGCACTCGCCGCGAAGATTCTAGGGGAGAAAGAGATACGCTACGTCTTGCGTGCGTGTATGCGAACCAGTTAGAGAGAGGGGGGGGGGGACGCCACAGATGCGCGACACGTACAGAGTGAAAAGTTCGAAGTGGGATAGCTATTTTTGAACGGCTTTCGTCTAGGATCAACACGCTTTCGAATCGAAAAAGTCTATTTGATCTGTAAGAAAATATGGTTCACAGTATTGACAAACATAAGGAAGAAATAAGGATCCGTTGTTGTAAACAAGGAATTGCAAAACCGCTAAAATTAGTCGTCGAGAACGTAATTCGATATTTAAAGGAAGAGCGGATCTTTTGCCAGTCTAAACGCACTAGAACAACAACTTATTTATTGGAAAGATCGTTCGAGAGATCGAGGAATGATTCTGAATTATTTTTTAAATTAAAGCACGTCTATTTAAAATAACATCGTTAATTTACTCGCATTAGCAGGTCAGGAGAAGTACTGCACTGATTTCTACAAGTCGAGAAACTGATACTTAGTTCCAGAAAATTGATAAGACTCTAACGTTACCAATATACAGACGTATCGTTCAATAAAGTAGAATATATTTGCACGATTGCTAATGATTAAACTGTAGATTTTCACGCATTTATGATGTGGACATTTTTTAAATACAAGAAAACATGCATATTATTTTATATGATCTCATATTTACCGCAAGGAATTTTTCCTTCCTTATTTAATTTTCATAATATGACGTACACCAATGGGATTTTTTTTAGAGATCTGCAGTACGGTAATCATATTAAAGAGGAATATATTTCTACGTATGATTAGAGTTTCGCGGGTATAGAATGGTAAACGTGTAAGGGGTCGATCGGGGTGCAAAAGGGTCCGATGAAAAGTGTAACGTGGTTGGAGGATAGCCAGTGGATGGAGGATGCAATTCCTCGGTCGATATTCTGGCACGACGGGGGATGCCGGTTAGGGCCAGACTTGGCTCCCTCTAGGGCGTTGTTGTAAACGTCTCTTGTGTGTGGCACAAGGTCAAACGGAAGATGATTCACCGACAAGGAGCGACATGGTCGGCTGTTTGACTGCCGAGTAAACTGGTCGTTTACGTGTACGGTTTCATACTCTATCGCTCGGCGGTTAATAAAAAGAGAGCGACTGATGTTTCACCTCTGTCATGCGACACATGGACACCTTCTGTTCTTGACCACGTTTATCGAAATTCGCGTAAAGTTTATCGATGACTAATAGCACCATACGTAACACGTAATTGCCCACAAAATTTGTTTCGCTGTCCGCTTAAGATTGCAGATTAAACATCGTAAGGATCACAAGTGACAGAGTGAGAAAAGTTCAGAAAGAGTACAAATAGCAAATTGTTCGACCAATACGACGAAAGAAAAAAAAAATGGTACATGATTATATGAATAGGATAGTCCAACGAATAAGATTGACCATCACAATGTCGAGGATAATCAGCTTATTCACCACGTTTACGAAGGCGTCAGTGAACTTTGAGAGTCACTGGCCTGCAAGAACCGACCTCCTTACGGGCTCATTGAATTTTTCCCTCTCTACCAGAACTTCTCTTGTAGTTCACTGTCATCCTCGAGGCTAAACAAGAAGAGGGCGAGGGGTTAGTTTTGCAACAAAACCTAACTCTTCATTACCAAGGATAGAGCATTTACCAGTAACTAGCTTAAATATTTAAAAGTTATTTGAAGAACGGCGGCTATTGCTTGCGCCAGTTTCACATGGTTAAGTTTCTGTCGCCAATTTGCCGGAAACGGAACGCGACTACATAATTAATTCTTCCGGAACTTCGACTGACGCGTCGTCTGTGGAAGGAGTCACTGTGGAATTTTTAATCGTTAAGCGACACCAGAAATTTATATGAAAATCGTTAACGTGTTGGATTTGATTTATAAAAGCCAAAATAATTCTAGGTAAATACTCGAACATACAGTTTAACATCAACGATAATTGTAACTAACAGAGAGACTAGATAAAACACTGATAAACAACTGGAAAAAAACACTGATTCCACGATGCAATCGATTCGTTTTCGTAGAAACAAGTAATTGTATTGGTTCGCTGTACAAATTTATCTTGCACTTGTGCAACCGTGTTTCCAGAATTTCGATCCCAACGAAAAATCGAAGACGAGAAATAAGTGGTAGAACGATAAATGAAATTGGAAAAGATAAAATACATGGATGCGATTGAAAGAAGGCAGCAGGTGATCGATAATGGAGTTCGATATTTTATCGTCGTCCACGGTCATTGGATAGTCCGATTTGGCATTAACTTATATTCGTTATATAAATTTTTGGCAATTCAGACGGAAATTCGCGAAATATTCGTGCCCGTGACGAAACCGCGCGATGATAACAGCGTTCGAGTTCATTTTTGCAACGTCGACTACGCGAAATCGATGTGAAACGTACAGGACGAAATTGAAACAGGTTTTTCGGAATTTATACAACGGCAGTTAAATTATGCAAAAGTGTTATTTCAATCTGTACAAAACCAATCGCAAAGTTTCGATTACATCGAACAGTTTACACTGATCCGAAGCATGTGGCACAGGGAAATGGCACGATGAATCGTTAGGAATATTACAATTAAACTGGGGAAACGTTGTTCCCACGAAACGAATGATTTTCCCGATCGTTGCAATTGAATATTGCGACAGACTGCAAGAATTTCGCCGTGAAGGATTCCCGTGCGATTCAATGTATTCCAACGAAAACAGCGATATTCTAGTCGGCGGTATGGAATATTTTTTTTCGTCACTAAGATCACAGTTACTCCGTTCCGAGTCTGGGACTGTCGGTATCGCGAAGCTGGAAATGAATCATCCGTTTCCTGGAAGCGACGAATATCGCGATTGGCACGTTAAAATCTCACCTAAGCGAGAGAAGTATCGAGTTCCCGTTGATCTGTCCGTTAAACGCGTGAAAATCGATAGCACACGCGGAACGAGCAGATCGGCGGCGAAGAAAATCAGCGGATTGGCGTAGCCGAAGGAAGAAAGCGATCGTTCTCGCGGCGTATTGCCGGGACAGAAATGGCGACCGGCGCGTCTGCTTCGGCCATAACCACAAAGTGGCCCGTGTGCCGTACCGGTTTTCCCTATAGGGATCGTTGACATTTTTCGGAAGGCGGATGCATGCACAGTAGAATATTTACCATTTCGTGATATCGTAGCCGGTGAGGAAAATCACGTAAACAAGCACTTTAACCTACACTTTCGCGAGAGCCTCGGTTCTGGTGGAACTTTATAGGTGCAGTGTCCAGTCGCGGGGGTCGCGGCTCACGAACGAACGAACGTACGAACGGGAAGGGAGGCTCCTCTCGCGGCCAGCTTTCTGCGAATCCTGTATCCCTACGCCTGCGCGCGCGCACTTCTGATTAACTCAGTCTTGATTGGCCAGCCTGTAACTAACGAATATTCTTGATTCATTTTATACGGGCTTTTTGCTTGAAACTTCGCTAGGAGATAGTGTTATCTAGACTTTTCTATTCTTTTTTCGCAAGAAACCAGCGAATGAACACCGTTTCGAGGTGGATTTTGTTTTCAAACCGGCAGGACCGTTCCAATGCGCAAGCGTTGTACGGCGCGCTTATGCCGGTTGCAGGCACAGTTTTTAGTTTTAGCTAGAAAATGATTTATTTCCAGCTCGGCGTGAGATTACGGTGCATTGATAAGATTCTTCCAGTGTTGAGATGGCCGTGTCATCGAATTGTGTAACAATGGCATGTAATTTACGAGAATTAATCATCGATACGAGCTGCCGGTCGAATTGGCCAATCATCGCGAGGGACGTGGGGAAATTACCTTATATGGGCAGCGGCATGCAAGCGACCGCATACAGACGTCGCGCGTCGTTCCGTGCGCAAGTAACATGGTTTGCGTGCGCACGACGCGCAACATAATTTGGCAGTTTCAAAAAACGTTGAATTACGACAGCACAATCTCGGTTGCTTGATGATTGTTTATGCACTGTAGATAAAAGCGAGCATTCGGCCGACACATGCACAAGCATTCGATTTTTTCGCACATGCAAATTACGAATGATTTTCATTTCAGGTCCTTGTATATTACTAAATTAACTTCATATTGGAATATAGTTATAGTCCTTTTATTTATAACTAGCCCCTGATGCTTAGATGCATCATTGGCGCGTTTTTATCATATTCCTACGATTCTGAAATTGAAAAATTAAAAGTCAGATTAAAGTATTCACATGGATATATTTCAGCTTAGATGTAACAAAATATGATTAAATATTATTTCTGCATAGATGTGAAATACAGGATACAGTCATATTTCTAAATACTGAGATGTAATCGTGTACCATTGTACATCTTACATTTGCATTTAATACAATAAAAAGATTTTTTTAAATACAATTCGTTGGGTTCTTTTGTGTTAGAATCATTAGGTAATTTTGTTAACGCATAGTAATATACAATATCAAATAGGATAAAAAACTATGGACTTACAAACAAAATAAGCTATTTTAAAATAATGTATATTATATTTACAACACATCAATATAAAAACTGAGTATTATATATAATTCTTTATAAAATTCAT